GAACAGTGTGAACATCAACATGGAAGCTCACTCACTGTTCTTGGGTTCATCCCAGTCCTGATTCAGAGACTGGGAAAGAACCCAAAAGAGAAAAAGTAAATAAATAAAGCTAGCAGTAAATAAACAGCTGATTTAACACTGAATATTTTAGTTTCAAATATCCCAGGATTCCTATGAAATCCTACGTAGGATCCTATAAGACCTTGCGTAGGATCTGAATGGATCCTACGACAAGAAAGTATAGGATAAATCCAAGACAAAGAAGTCTTATGTCTTTCCTACAGGATCCTATGTGGATTTGGTAGGATCCTACGTAGGATCTTGTAAGATCTTGTAGGATCCTATGGTAGGATTGTTTGACTTGGGTATGTGCCTATTGGTTAGTGGTTTGCCTATTACCAAACAGGGCATCTCCAAAATGAAAAGGGTATTTTGCGAAAATAGAGTCATACTTTTGGGTATACATCAGATATTCAGTTGATCTTTTCTCTACAATCATTCGTGGCAAAATAAACAACAAAGACTATTATGTAGAACTATTTGTCATCTATGAAACGGCATATGATTCGGCTTTAACCATCATGGTTGAAGACGAAATCTTTAAGGAAAATGATGAAGGAAAAAATTCATAAGAAAAAAAATCTATATAGCCAAGTATATAGCTCTCCATTCGAATAGTGATTTGAAATATGTTTTTCGGAAGGCATTTTCAACCAAAATAAAACGGATATCCGGGAATTGGCATTGAACTTGAATCCCCCTTAAATTACACTTACTAAAATCCAGAAATCAGAGAGATATGACATATGTCTAAAAAGAAATGTGAGAAATAAATAATAAGTATAGTAAACCATGATAAGGTGATGATTGTGAAAGTTACAATTGAATATGCATAAAGATGAGCCGCCAAAATGTCATATTGATTAACATTGTGGTGAATAGATGAAATAACAGCTGTACAAAAGGTGAAAATTAAATAATAAGTACAATTGCCAAAAACCAACATAAAATTATTTACTGGTTGAAATTTATATTTAGTTCTTGGTTGTGCTCTTAAACTATATTTGCCTTTTTGTTCTAATTCTAAAATTACTTGTTGACTAACTATATTATGACTATTTATTTGACTATAATGATGACTAAGATGATGACTATTATTATTTGAATTTATTGTTTTTGTTCTAAAAAGACTACCTGATTTTTCCCCTATTCATTTACTGATACTAGCTTTCCACTGATTACATATCACTCGTTTATTATTATATGATTTATTTGCTATTGAATAAACTGCTTCTAATACTTTTCTACGATGTTTACTTTCTTCCCTATCAAAAACTAAGCTTTTCTCAAATTGAATACTACAACTACTGTTACTAACTAACAAGTGTTGAACTATTTCTGACTCATTAACGCGATGCTATTTGACATTACTCATATGTTGTTTGTGACGTCTCCCAATATCTTCCGTTTCTCCGACATAGATACATCCACATTTGCCTGGTATCCCATAAATAGCATTTTTAGCAAAAACAGAAGAATCTTTCTTCTTAGCATCAAGCTTATTGCGTGAAAGTAATTTGGCTTTATTTAAAATGGAACCAATACTTTTAGAGTGTTGTGTAAATGTTTTAATTTGATGTTTTCTTAAATCTCTTTTCAAACGTTCGGTGATACCATTCAAATAAGGAATTACAACTATACCAGAACATTGTTGATTATTGTTAACATTATTACGTCTACTTAAATTATCATTAACTTCTTTTATATTTTTGAAATTATATTTTTGAAAATTGACTATTTTCTAAAAATTTTTGCAAATCAGTTAAACCTTTTTCATTTTCGTGACCATTGTTGGCTATTAAGACACGATTTGTCATATTTTTAACGATATTATTTTTGATTGCTGAATTGTGATTCGAATGAAAATTCAAAAGATAATTTAATGGTGTTTCTTTTCGAAACCAACTGGTTGTGAAATTTTTGTTTAATTTTTGTTGTCAATTGCTATTAAAACATCCAAAAATGGTATTTTATTATTTTTCTCGAATTCGAATGTAAATTTTAAATTTGTCGTTTTAATATTCAAATCTTCAACTAATTCTTTTAGTTGATCTTCACTTAACTCTGAAATGAGGAGTCGTCATCAACATATCGTCCAAAATAGGCAAATGGAAAACGTGCCTTGTCCCAATATCTTTCTATAAAATCGCTAAGTACATGATTTCCATATCATATTATCAACAGAATTAACACTATCTTGTACCAAAGTTACTTTACACATTCTCATATTATGGTCACAAAAAAAGGTGTGAGCAACTGTGAAGATTGATGCAACGTAAGACATCAATGCAAGCTCAAATGAATCATAAAAGCGAGATTATTTATCAAATAAATCTGGCAAAGCAAAAAAAAGGAAGCGTAACACGTAAGTTAACACTAGCGAGGATATACGCGAGTTAATCAGTCATGGCAAATTTAAATTATAACCAACGCCTTATACGGGCGATTTAGTAACTTGAAAAGCTGTTTGTGGTTTTAAATGTGTAATGAGTTCCGTTCATGGATTTTACCGGCTATGGTGGAAGCAGCCACACTATGCGGAGATGCTGGATACAGTTGTCCAGATCCGAAACGTCCGGAAAAATTACGAGTTAGCTATACACCCATAGGCTACGTTCACGCTACAAATTTTTCAGAGTTTACTGGAAGTTAACTTCGAGAACGTTCACATCTAAATAAATGTGTTTTTTTAAATCAAAATCGATCACATATTTGGAATCTGCGTATTAAACAATATACAATTTTTAAAAAAACTGTTTATTCAAAAGATTCATGTAGCGTTACCTTCAGCCAATTTTGATCATAAAGATATACACCAACAAGATTTTGACATTTTCCCTAAATTTGTGCTGTATTCTCAAAGGGTGCGGCTTGCTAACAGCTGGCCGGTTTGAATTCAGCTTCTATAGTTGACTTTCTAAGCTCAAACAGAAAAATTGAGTAGAGAGTCAGATGTTTGTTTCCCCCACAGAACTGACGCTACCTCGCTTGTCTAATGGAACCATATTATTACTGAGCTCATTTATAATTGGAGATTTAAAATCAAATACTTTTACTGCTGTGAGGGATCTGAGAAGTGGTGTTTCTTAGATCTTTCCTCGTGCTGCATTCCAGTGTACGCTTCCAGGTTCTCGATAGAACCCATAAAAAAAATTTTCACTTTTGTGAAAAACCAGTTTTTCGCCTGTTACTAGCAAAAATTAAAATCCTTATATCTCGATCAAATCTCATGCTGACTCAAAGAAATTTTCAAAAAACGCTCAGGACAGCTCATAAAGCATAATCGAAGACGAAGAAGGTGAA